AGCACCGAGGGTTGCGATCCCGTTGCCGGTCCCCGGTCCGGTACAGGCGCGACACTGAGGGTTGTGGTCCGTTGCCGGACACGAAAAAAGACAAAAAGGAAAAAAAAAAAAAAAAGAAATAGGAAGTGCTAAACTGTATCTGCACCTGCAGATCTAGGCTTAGGATTCCTGGGTCACTCCTTTCACACACACCGCATCCCAAGCTACAAACACTAATGCCTCCAACCCCTGATTAAACAGGACAGCAGAGAATCTTGAGTCTAATCTAATCTTCCTAGGGTCACTGTCCATCCCTCTCCTTGAAGAACCTTGAACTTCAAATTTGTTTGCTCCCTACTTCCATCCTCTGCTGCATTTCCAATGACTAGTCATCCATCTGCAAGAAAATAAACATTTGTGGGACTTTCCAGATCACAGCTGACTTTTATTAAGTCCTTGTGTCCACTGTTCTCCAAAGGTTGGTTGAGACTAATCCCACCCATCTTTATTCCTATTTTCACAGGTCAAAGCCCCAAATATAAGCACTTTCTCTCTTCCCATATTTTTCCTCTATGGAACTGTCATTCCTAAAATGCTCCATAGTTCCTTAATCCTAATCCAATCCCTCTCTCCCTGCCGAAACCTCCCATTTGGCCTTTAAATGCTCCATAGTTCCTTAATCCTAATCCAATCCCTCTCTCCCTGCCGAAACCTCCCATTTTAGGAATTCCGACTCCCCTATGCACTCAAACACTTCCTTGAATGTTCTTTCCACCTCTTGCCTTATCTAAACCTGGCTCTCTCTACACCACTTTCCCTGCAGCTCCCTCAAGTGAAGTCTGCTCCTATTCTCACACCTATGTAGTGTCGGGAGAGGAGGATACTCCTCAGTGCTACTTAGAGTTCACTGCTTCTCCCCGCTTCTGTAAAAATCCCTGCTACCCTATCCCTGACTGGGCATTGTAAGCTACCTACCTCCTGTTTGCTCCTTGTTGTTCACAGAAGACTTTGGCACTTGACTTACTGTCTTCTCTTGTACCACGAGTCCTGCCATCATCCAAAGTGACTTCAGAGTCTTCATGAAAGACCCACCTTATATGAAATGTCTTCCTACAATGCTACTCAATCACCTACCCCACAGTCACTCCCTGGATCTTGTCATCATGACCTAAAACCCCTCCACTTTCTCTGCTTCTAACACTAATTCACTAATCTGCTTTCTCACCGCAACCACCTATTCTTCCAGCTTGCTTAAAATTAGTCCCACTGCAACTATATTTCGCTTGCATTTGATATCAGTTTGTTGACCCCTTCACTTTCTTTCTATTACTCCTTTCCCCTTCACTTCCCTCTTTGTCTAGCTTAGAGTTCATGGTCTATTGTTTCATTTTCTCTCTTAGAATTACCCTGAACTCTCTCCTTGAATATGCTCTTTCCTGTCTTCTAAAATAGCCAAGCACGGCCTAGGAAGAGACATCTAAATTCCCTTGTACGGTGAAATTACCTCTAGGCAGGGGCATTGGCCTAGAGGGCCAGAGAGTAAGTACTTTAGGGTTTGTGGACCACAGTGTTTCTGTTGCAAGTACTCAACGCTGCCACTGTAGCTCAAAAGTAGCTATAGACCATACTTAAATGGATGAATGTGGCTGTGTTCCAATAAAACTTTATTTACAAAAACAGACCATAGACTGAGGATCATAAATCAGCTGACCCCTGGTCTAGAGATATGAGTTCAGTATTTTTATTTTTATTTTTTTGTTTTTTTTTTTGTTTTGTTTTTTGTTTTTTAAAAGATGACCGGTAAGGGGATCTTAACCCTCGACTTGGTGTTGTCAGCACCACGCTCACCCAGTGAGCGAACCAGCCATCCCTATATGGGATCCGAACCCGTGGCCTTGGTGTTATCAGCACCGCACTCTACCGAGTGAGCCACAGGCCGGCCCTCTGGCAGCCCTTTTGCAGACATTTTTGCTGGCTTCTCTCTCCTCTTCTACTAAACCTTTAAATATCAGAAGTTCTCGGGGATCTGTCCTAGGAGCTCTTCTCTTTTCATTCAATACCCTTTCATTAAGTAATCTCAACTCTTCCCACGGCTTCAATTACTATCAGTATGCATATGCTCCTCAAATTTTATACCTTGTTGTTGGAATTCTTGACTGACATATCTAACAACTCACCTAATATCTTCAAATAGATAACTCCAAAGTACCTTCAACTCAGCATGTTCAAAAGTAAACCCATTACTTCTCTCATTAAGTCTATTTCTTCCAGAAATCTGAGCCATCTTTGACATTTCATTCTTTCATATCTTCCCACATTTGAATAGTCATCAAGGCTTGTTAATTCTTTCTCCAAGCTGTTTCTCTAATTTTTTCACTTTTACCCATCTCGACTGCCACCTCCCTGGTCCAAGTCATTATCATTTTTTATTCAACAAGTTTCATTCCACTTAATATCTACCATGTGCCATGAAATGTAAGGTGCTAGAATATAGAGATTCAAAGGAGCCTCTTGCCTAGATCACTTAATAACTGGTCTCCCTGAAATAATTCCTTCCCCCATTGTGACAGTTAATTTTATATGTCAACTTGACTGGGCTAAGAGATGCTCAGATAGCTGGTAAGTCATCATTTCTGGGCGGGTCTGTAAGAGCGTTTCTGGAGAAGATTAGCATTTGAGTCAGTAGACTGTGTAAAGACCATCCTCACCAGTGTGGGCAGGCATCATCCAACCTGTTGAGGGCCCTGATTTTTTTTTTTTTTTTAAAAAGGGGAGAGAAGGGTAAACTCTCTCTCTCTCTTTTCTAGAGCTGGGACATCTATTTTCTCTTCTCAGATACCTGAGTTCCAGGTTCTTGGGCCACTGGACTCCTGGACTTACATCATTGGCCCTCCCAGTTCTCAGGCTTTTGGACTCACGCTAAATTACACCACCAGCTTTCCTGGTTCTCCATCTTGTAAAGGGCATATCTCGGGATTTTTGGCCTCCATAATTGTGAACCAATTCCCATAATAAATTCCCTCTTATACATCTATATATATCCTATTGGTTCTGTTTCTCTGGAAAAACTAATATACCTGACCAATCTATTTTTCACATTGAAGAGAGACTGTGTGTGAGTGTTTTAAATGCAAATCTGATTTTGTCACCACTTGATGTAAGGATTAAACTAGATTAGGTATGTAAAGAATTTAGTCAGTATCTGGAGCATGATAAACAGTCACTAAATTCTTTCTTTCTTTTTTTTTTTTTTTTGCGGCTGGCCACAACTGGGATCCAAACCCATGACCTTGGTGTTATAAGGCTGCCCTCTAACCAACTGAGCTAACTGGCCACTAAATTCTAATTAGTAGAGATAAGTTGAATCATTCATCAAATGATTTTGAAATAACTAGCCAGTCATTTAGAAAAAATAAAGCTCTATCCCTACTTCACTCCTTAGATCCAAAGGGGGAAAAATCATAAAAATACTTGAAGAAAACATGGATAAATATTTGTATAATCTTGGAAGTAAAGAAGGGCTTTCAAAACATGTCTCAGAAGCCAGAAATCATAAAGGGAAAATATTAACTACATACAAATGTAAACATTCTGCCTAGCAAGAAAGGCCATAGACAAGAATGAAAAACAAATAACAAATATGGAAAATTTTTATAACAAATACCTAATTAACTATTATAAATCAACAAGAGAAATTTAACAGCCCAATAGAAAAAGGTCAAGTTACATGAATAGACAATGCTCAAAATAAGAACTACAAATGGCTAATATCCTAAATTAAAAATACAAAAAAAGCAATAAGCTATTATATTTTACCTATAGGTTGGTAAGATTAGGAAGATTGACTAAACTCACTACAGATAAGAAAAATTAGCAGTCATCTCCATTGGTGGGAGCATAAATTTGAAGAGCCTTTATGGAAACAGTTTGGCAATGGGTAATATAAGATAAAATGTGTGTACCTCTTAGTATAGTAATCCCACTGCCACAAATTTACTCTAATAAGATCACTTAAATCGTTCAAAAACATATATGCTAAGAATGTTTACTGAAAACTTAAAATAAAATTATAAAGAAATATTTATCAAAACAACAATGTTGGGCGGGCCCGGTGGCGCACTGCTACAGTGCGCTGCTTGGGAGCACGGCGGCGCTCCCGCCGAGGGTTCAGATCCCACATACAGACCGGCCGCTCACTGGCTGAGCAAGGTGCGGGCGCAACACCAAGGGTTGCGATCCCGTTGCCGGTCCCGGTCCGGTACGGGCGCGACACTGAGGGTTGCGATCCGTTGCCGGTCACGAAAAAAGACAAAAAGGAAAAACAATAAAAACAAACAAACAAACAAAAACAACAATGTTCTTCTTTGGGCCTGTTCTTGATGCTGGGGAAACAGAAATTCAAAAGGAGAGACAAAGTCCCTTCTCACATGGAGCTATATTCCAAGAGTCAGAAAGACATTAAACTAATAAGGGAATAAATAAGATACTTAGAAATAGTGGCAAATGCTTTGAAGACATAAAGGGATCTCCTCAGAGGTGTTGTAATACTTGTAGAGTAAATAGAGTTTGGGTATCTTTCGAAAGGATAGTCAAAGAAAGCCTCTCTGAGGAGGTAACATGTGAATGTGGGTTTGTTTTTCCCCCAAGAGCTACAGTTTGAGGATGGTCTAGGGTGGTCTATTCAGATATCTGTAGCCTGAAGATTATGGTGAGGGTAAGGGAGTGCTTAGCTGCTATGACTGCTATCCCCAGTATTTTATAAAACACTCTTCTGGTAATTCCAAACCAAGGCAATACAATGTAACAAAGAAATAAGAAGCATGCATTTATTAATTGTCTTAGAACTCTGATTGGCCTCAGCTGCACGTGTTCACTCAGACTAAATAAGATTGAATGGGTATCATGAAAGAATTCCTTCTCAAAATCAGCATGATAAATACTCAAATATAACATAGCAAATGAAAAGGGAAAAGAAACAAAGAAGGAAAGGAACCATGGCATACAAAAAATAAAGAAGGGTTGGCCAGTTAGCTCAGTTGGTTAGAGTGTGGCACTAACAACACCAAGGTCAGGGTTCAAATCCCCATACCGGCCAGCTGCCAAAAATAAAAAGATAAGGAATGCTGTGTTGAGGAAAATATAACCGGAGGAACAGAAAATTACCTGTGAATGCTTCACGCTATAGAACAACTTTCTAAAAACATGAATTGAGTAAAAGAACTCAAAGACAACATGATGAAACAACAGAATGAGATATGAAAAAAATACTGTAGAGCAGAGAAAACATTTTAGGGACCATATCAACACTACTACATAACATAAATAAATTAAGTAACTCTTGCTTTAATCATAGTGAATCAGATAAAATAATTCCATTTTCTAAAAAGTTGAAAGAAGATAAAAAAAATGTAGATGACACATAAAGATGATATAGCCACAGGAAAATTGGTGTTCCTAAAGAATGTAACAAATTAGAAAGAAAAGTGTTTTAATATGTAACAGAAGAAAAATTTTCTGGTAGGAAGAACTATGGAGAACTTAATCTAAATATTGAAAGGACACATTGTGTTCCAAGAAAATCTAATAATGAACAATCGAAACCAAGACATATCCTGATTAAGTTGTTCAGTTTTAAGGATGAAGAAGGAATTCCTGTCACCCAGCTGGAAAATGCAGATCACCTAAAAGAAGGAAGAATCAGGCTGGCCTCAGACTTCTCCACAGCAGCATTCAGTGACTGCAGTTTCTAGGGAAACAGGGTGAGCCCAAGAGTATTGTATCTGGTCAAGTTGTCATTTAAGTATACAGCCAAAGACAGACATTCTCGAACAAGAAAGAATTTTGGGAATAAAAAACATATTATCCCTTTCTGGGGGAAAAATACTTAAGATGAAATCAAACCAACCAAGAGACAAATGAAGATACTGGGGTAAGCACTAAAGCAACATTCAACATCAGAAAAACAATGCAGCAATGACTTCAAGGTTCTAAGGGGAAGAAAATGAAACCTATGAATTTTATTCTTAGCCAAATCATCCTTCAAGTACAACAGCAAGAGCCACATTTTGACAAATACTTCCAAATGATCCTCCAAAAGAAGCCCTACCAACATACAGCCCATTAACAATATTTGGGAATATGTTTCCCCACACCCTCATTAACTGTGTTAAAGACACTATCAACTTTTTTTTTTTCTTTTTTTTTGTCTTTTTTCGTGTCCGGCAACGGATCGCAACCCTCAGTGTTGCACCCGTACCGTACCGGGACCGGCAACGGGATCGCAACCCTCAGTGTCGCGCCCGCACCTCGCTCAGCCAGTGAGTGGGAACCGGTCTGTATGTGGGATCCGAACCCGCGTCGGGAGCGCCGCCGCGCTCCCAAGCGGTGCACTGTAGCAGTGCGCCACTGGGCCGGCCCCGACACTATCAACTTTTAAATTAAACAGCAGTGACATATCTCTCTGTTATTGACTGAATGTTTGTGTCCGCCCCTCAAATTCATATGTTGAAATTCAAACCTCCAATGCAAAGGTATTAGGAGGTGGGGCCTTTGGGAGGTAATAATTCATTTGTAAAAGAGACCCTACAGAGCTCCCTAGCCCTTTTCCCACCAAGTGAGGGTACAACAAGTCAGTTATGTACAACCTGGAAGAGTCAGCAGTCTACAACTCTGTCTGCAAGCCCTCGCCAGAATCCAACCATGCTGTCATCCCAATCTCAGACTTCAAGCCTCCAGAATTGTGAGAAATAAATTCCTGTTGTTTATGAGCCACCCAGACTATGGTACTTTGTTATAGCAGCCTGAACTAAGAAGCTTCTCATATATCTTTTAAAAATTATATCTTAAAAAAATAATAATAAATAAAAATTATATCAATCTTATGGAAGGGGTATATTACTGCTATTTTAATTTCATTTTCTTTGTTAAAAGTAAACTTGAACCATTTTTCAAATGTTTGTTAGACATATTAATATTGGACATATTTTCTATGACTTTCCGAATTCATATCTTTTGCTCATTTTTCCTTTGGATTGTCTTTTCTTTATTCATTATTAGGTTCTCTTCATGTATTGTAGCTATTAATCCTTTATTTATTATATGTGTTGCAAATATGTGATCCCAATCCATCACGTCTTTCAAATTTGTTTACAGTGTTTTTCATTATATAGTTTAGAGTTTTAAATTTTTTCCCTTATAGCTTTTAGATTTTATGCTCTACTTAAAAAGAGCATTTCAACAACAAGATTTAAAGAACATTCTCTTATATTTTCTCCTGATCTGTAATTTTTTTTTTTTTTTTTTTTTTTTTTTTTGTGGCCGGTAAGGGGATTGCAACCCTTGGCTTGGTGTCGGCTGCACCGCGCTCAGCCAGTGAGCACACTGGCCTTCCCTATATAGGATCTGAACCCCCGGCGGGAGCGCCACTGCACTCCGAGCGCCGCACTCTCCCGAGTGAGCCACGGGGTCGGCCCTCCTGGTCTGTAATTTGATTTTTTTCACTTAGATACTTGACTTAAGTATCATAATCACATGAACTAAAATTATGAGAATTAGATTATAGACTCACGAAAAATAAGTTTAAAAATGTAAACCAAGAGCTGGCCCCTTGGCGCACTCAGGAGAGTTTGACGCTGGGAGCACAGCAGCGCTCCCGCCCGCGGGTTCGGATCCTATGTAGGGATGGCCGGTGCGCTCACTGGCTGAGCGCGGTGCGGGCGACACCAAGCCGAGGGTTGCGATCCCCTTACCGGTCACACACACACACACAAAATGTGTAAACCAGAATACCAGCTGGTTAAGTCACAATGGAGATGGAATTTTCCACTGGCCAAAATGCTCGAGACCTTCTTGGAGGTACCTCATCTCAGTCTGTAGGTACCTGGGAAGCAGAACTAGTAAGCCAGAACTTTGATGGGTTTCCAGAACTAGTAATAAAAACAGGAGAATATTCCATCCAGGAGATCAAAGATAAGAATGCTGGGTATCTTAACAAGAGAAGTATAACCTACAATGAAGCAGGACTTCTCAGAGGAAATAAACAGCTCTAAAGACTAATAATTAAAATCCTCAGGTTCCCCTATTTCCAGTATCCTTCTCCCATGAACAGTGCTGGATGCATTCAGCTAAAGTTTATCTCTCTGTCTTTCCTCTATTCCAAGATATATTGCAGACCGTACTGAAGCTTTCTTTCCCTACATGTAACACCACTGATTAGTAGTCAAGTAACCAATCCCAAGGGCCTAGAAGACATTGGGTTCCTTTCACTACCTGTTGATTAAGTTAAATTATCTCAAAGGCAACCTTATTTGTAAGTTCTGAGTACTGACTACAACAACTTTAACAGTATAAGACAGTATATAGCAGATGAAAAATTGATAGAACAAGAGAGTTATTGGAGGTTTTTAGGCATGGAAATAAACGCTGAAAGTGTTGAGGAAGACTGGCTTATCAGTTACGTGATGGTAGAAGCTGCAGCCAGGGAACAGTGGGGGACAATGAAGGCAGGGAGACTAGGCAGGATGCTGTTACAGTTATCTAGACAAGGCCAGCTCCAAATTCTAGACTGCAGGATCTGTAACAAATTCATCTCTCTATCCTCGGCACTTAGCCAAAAGCATGGCATGGAGGTGTTCCATGAATGCTAAGTGGTCAATTTCCATCAGCATAGCAATTTTCAAGTGAATTGGTATTTTCAGATGCTTAAAATAAAATTGTGCCAAAATATTGCTTATCCTATTAATTTGGTTTGGCAATACCTTTTTTTGTAATAATATAACCATTTATTAACCCACAATGTGGCAGACATTTAAACATTTTTATAAGGATTATTATAACAACACTATAATGATCAAGCAAGGTTCAGAGAATTTTAAGAAATTTGTACAAGTTTTCATAGATAGAAAATGACAGCCCAGACACTAAATAACATCACAAATTAAGAGAAATGAAGTTTTATCTTATCACATTTCTAAAAAATAATAATCATTTTTATCATGACAAAACCTGTGCCACAGGTAAGCTAAAATTGTGGTCTCCAAATTTCTTGATCATGCATACCTATCAGTAAAAAAGCACACACTCTCCAATATATGTATATTTATTTATAAATTACCACCATTGGCTAGTATCTTAAGGTACAATGCATACATAGGGCAGAATTCATTATAATGCATGTAATTCCATATTTCAAATTTTCTTAATAATTTCAAAAAAGTTTTTGCTGACTTCTTATCAGATCTGGTTGGCTTGTAATTGTTTCTATCTGATAATCTGACTTAGAGCTCCTACTAGGAGTAGAAGTGATTACTTGTGCTTACATTTTTTTGTATTATTGTCAAGTCATGTTTTCTTTGCAGAAATCTTCTTAAATCATCTGTCCATTCTATGAAGATGTTTATCTAAAACTAGTTGATATAATCAGCAAATCACACAACTGGGCATGTGTTAACTGCAATTTGTCATAGCACCATTGTCAACCCTCATGTTGTTGAGGTCACTATCTCTTCACAATATGTTTCATGTCCCCTGCATGACAGATGACCAAATCACTTACCAAGTGAGGGTAAGTCAATGTGCCTGACTCATTGTGTATGTTAAATATCAGTAAATCCCAATTTTTTTTTTACATTAAAAAAAATATATAAATTGTAATTCTAGCATTTTCTTCCTGACCTAAGGAAGCATCTTTGAAGATTCCTAGACTAGAGGATTGCCTCAAGTGCAAAGGTCAGAAGTTTCCTAGTTGGCTTTCTAATTCTTCATCCAGAGCCTTTCTGAAAATGCTGTTCCAAGGAAGAAATATGTATATCCCTGGCTGGGCACGTCCTCTGAGTATTTGTTAGTCACTTGCATGGTGGGTGAGACTATTCTGAATCTGGAGCATGGGGGTGGGGGGTGGCGCTGCGGGGTTGGTATGGTCATCTCAGTTTTAAGGTCCCAAGGCCTAGAGGAGTCATAGCAAAACCCTAGAACTCAGCTTGGCTCTAGTTTTCCTGGTGGCAACCACAGAAGAGACAGAATCTCAAATGGGCATGTTGATGGAATGGCTTTCAGGGGGACCTGGAAATAGTCCTTTGTGTCACTGGAGAGGGAGAT